TCCCACATCCCACCGGGATTCCCAGACCCCCCCAGTGTCCCTAAACCAGAGGTGCCACCCACCCTCGGTGAGCCGGGCCTTGCCCCCCGTGGGCTGGCACAGCACCGTGGAACAGCCCACGCAGAGCACCACGGTCTGGGCGTGGCTGAACACGGTGGTGATCTTGTAACAGCCTGGAGGGGGGAAAAAACGGGAATTACAGAGAGTTGGGGAATACAGGGAGCGGAGGGGGGGGGGACACCGGGGCAGGGGACAGCAGGGGGGACAGCGGGACACGGGGGGACACACGTGGGGGGACACGGAGAGGGACATGCAGGGATCACGGGGCACACAGCGGGACACGTGGAGAGAAAGGGGCCAGGACACCGAGGGGAGACTCTTGGGGGAAAAAAACTAAACAAACAAACAGGGAAAGACACCAGGACACCGGGAGGGACACGGAGAGGACAGCGGGACACACGATGGGGGGGAGGGAGGGACCCGAGGAGGGACCCCGCAGGGTCCGCGGTGCCCACCGGGGCACTTGACGTCCATGAAGTAGGAGTTGGGGCTCTGCACCAGCCGCTTCTTCTTGTGCTTGCGCTTCTCCTCCTCGGGGGACGGGTGCAGCAGGTCCTTGGCGAGCTGCGGGGACACGGCGGGGATCGGAGCTCTGTCAGTGAATCGTGGCCCCCCCCCCCGCGGCCCCCCAGGCCGCCCTCTTGTCCCCCCCCCCCCCCCCCCCCCCCCCCCCCCCCCCCCCCCCCCCCCCCCCCCCCCCCCCCCTTCACCCCTCAGCCCGCTCGCCCCGCTCGGCCCCGCCGCCCCTCCCAGATCCCTCCCCAGAGCTTGCTGTCCCCGGGCGGGCGCGGCGGGCGCGGGGCCGCGCTGGCGGCGGGCGCGGAGGAGCGCGGGGCGGGCGGGCCGCACTCACGGGCATGGCGGCGGCGGCGTGAGGGGCCGGAAAGGGACGGGCCCGGCCCCGCACCGCCATTTCCGCTGCGGGGCGGCCCCAGGGGCGGAAGCGCCGCCATCTTGGGATGGTGGTGTGGGGTTTAACCGCCATATTGGGGAGGTCGTTTATAAGGCCGCCCTTTGAGGGGGTCGTTAATGTTTTTGTCAGCACGGGAAGGTCCTTTAAGTTGTTGCCATTCTCGGTGGTCGTTTAAATTGCCGGAATTCGGGAAGTCGTGGCCTTCTCGGGATGGTCGTTTGGTGTTCCCGCCATTTTGAGAAGGTCGCTGCGTCGCCGCCATCTTGGGAAGGTCGTTGAGTCGCAGCCATCTTGGGAGGGTCTTGCTGTCTCGTGACGTCAGGCGATCCCGGCGTGACGTCAAGGGTCCGTGATGTCACGGGGAGGGCCGGGCCCGGGCAGGCCCCGCCCGGGGGGGGCCGGGCCGGTCCCGGTGGCGGCGGGCGGCGGCGGGGGCCATGGCCAAGGCCTACGACCACCTCTTCAAGCTGCTGCTGATCGGGGACAGCGGCGTGGGCAAGACCTGCCTCGTCATCCGCTTCGCCGAGAATGACTTCAGCAGCACCTACATCTCCACTATCGGTCAGTGCCGACCCCCGGGACTCCCCAGCGGGACCCCCCTAGCTGGGACCCACCGGGATTTACCGGGACCCCCCACCCTGGGACCCCCCGGGACCCTCCAGTGGGACCCCCCACCCCGGGACCCCCTCGGGACCCTCCAGTGGGACCCCCCACCCCGGGACCCCCTCGGGACCCTCCAGTGGGACCCCTACTCTGGGGTTCACCGGGACTCCCCCTCGCTGGGACCCACCCGGACCCCCCACCCCGGGACCCTCCCGGGACCCCCCGACTGGGACCCCCCGACTGGGACCTCCCCTCTGGGATCCACCACTCTGGGACGCCCCGAGACCCCTCAATGGGACCTCCCACCCCGGGACCCCCAAACTGGGACCCTCCCTCTGGGATCCACCGGGACTCCTCACCCCAGGACCCCTCGACTTGGACCTACAACCCTGGGACCCCCCGGTATCCCCCAGTGAGACCCCCCGAGATTCCCCAGGACCCCCCACCCCTGGAATTTGCCGGGACTCCCCGACTGAGACCCCTTGAAATCCCTCGGGACCCCCCACCCTGTAACCCACCCCGGGACACCCTGATGGGATCCTCCATGGGGATTCACTTGGCCCCTTGGTTACTGGGAGCACTGGGAGCACTGGGAGGGGCCCGGTTCCGTCCCCCTCCCCATTATCCCCCCCACCCTCCACCCCAGGGATCGACTTCAAGATCCGGACCATGGACATCGATGGGAAGAAGATCAAACTGCAGATCTGGTGAGTGTTGGGGGGCGGGAAGGTCTGAGGGGGGGGTCGCTGGGACCCCCTAAACCCCCCAAATCCCCCCAAATCCCACCTTTCTCCGCAGGGACACGGCAGGGCAGGAGCGCTTCAAAACCATCACCACGGCCTATTACCGAGGAGCTGTGGTATGGGGAGGGGGTCATCAGGGTGGGGGAGGCCCTTGAGGGGCTCAGACCACCCCCTAAACCCACGGGCTGGGGGTCCCGGCCCCCCCCCTCTTCCTTGACTGACAGGGCATCATCCTGGTGTACGACATCACGGACGAGAAATCCTTCGAGAACATCCAGGGCTGGATGAAGAGCATCCAGGAGGTGATTTTTGGGTGGGGATGGGCTGGGGGTCGGCTGGGGGTGTTCGGGG